TAGTTCTGATCCCGTCGGTGGGTCAACGTCTACCAGATTTCAAACGAGGACGCCAACGGGTACCCGACTTATCCGTCAAGTGCACATCCCGCTTCAACAGCGTGTCCGCCAAACCGACCCAAAAACTCTTGGAGATCGCGTACCTGGTAAGCGTGAGCATCTGCATCGGAAGTACTAGAAACACGTACTCAGTTGTGGGCCATTCGCAAGACAGTACACGGATCTCGCGCAGGGCGGGAAAGCACGAGATCCCCAGACCTTTGAAAAACACTCGCCAGTCCTCTTGTTCCTCTTTCAGCGTCGTGGACCTATTCAGGAAGTAAGTAGATGGAATACCATCAAATGAAGAGGGCGCACTCTGGGTCCTTCCGGAGAACCACCGTAGCAAGGGCGGTGTGTCGGAAGTCCGCGTCGCATCCGAGATTCTGAAGCCATACCTCCATGAGCGCACGAAGGTCTGCTGGAAGCACACGACTCACCATGCTGTAGGTGGTGGCCTCGCACTCAAAGACGGACAGCCGTGGACAGAGCGCCAAGATCGGCGTGCGCGCGATTGTTGACTCCTTGGCGTATATGTCCGTTATCTTATTGCCGTGCGTGTGCAGAAACGTCTCGCCGAACCCGCGCTCGAATTCGAAGTCAAACGAGACGCGGCGCAAACTCGGAAGGCTACATAGAATGCGGTGAGTATTGATGTCAATCGGTTAACCGGAGATGCACTCCATGCCATCGAGCACCTCAAACAACTCGTGCGATTTCAGGCGCAAAAACTCCAGGGCGGGGAGCCCGTTCTTCGGCACCGACACCTTCTTATCGAAGAAGAACGACGTGAACACGGGTCTATACCCGCATTCCCAAGTCAGAGAGCGCATTGCAGTGAACCGCTCGAAAATCGCCGGTGACTCTGGCGTCGTCTCCTGAAATTCGAAGCCCGACATCTCCTGGAGCGTGGCGCCAACGATATTCGCAAGCGCCGTAACAGCCACCCACAGGATTGGCGCAGGCGCCGGGCCGCTACCGAATAAATCTATCGCATCAGCCCCATCGCCCTGGATGAGTCGCAGGCGTGGTGTATTGAGGAATAGGCGCGTCAAGTCGACAACGGGGGCGCCGTCATTGCGCTCGAATGGGTAGCCGTGAATTTCCAGCTCGCGGACGTACATTCCTACGATGGGGGCGGCGACTAATCGCGCCGAAAAGCGGTGCAGGAAGAACTCGCGCGGGAACGTCACATAGCGGTAAAGATACGGGATCGCGAGACGCTGGAATAAGCTGCAATCAATGGGCGAACCTGACCTGGTTCAAGAAGCTGACTCACATGGAATGTCTTAGACACCAACAGGAACGGCAGGCGGCTGGAATGCTTGTCCGGATGGCTTTCCCTTGCCTCGAGGGGAAGCATGGCGAAAAATAAGACCCGCGACCAAATGGAATCGACCACGGTTTGCGGATAAGATGCCATCGGTTGGAATGCCGGATCGGTGGGAGCGCAGGGATTGACTTTGTACTTTGATGCAGACGGTTCTTCCCTGGATCGTCCCGCATGCTCGGTTGAGGACGAGGCAAAAAAGAACCGGGACTTACGGTGTCTCCTCCAACCAACGTACAAGTGCATGCAGACGGGGGTCCATCAATATCTTGGAGGCCAGCATCTCCGAGTTGTTCGATGGCCACCTGATTTCGATGGATTCAAGCGAGGGATTTCGTGTGATGCTGGTGAAAAATGGAATATCGTGCTCGAACAGAGTAGGGAACGAAATGGCTTTGAGCGTCGAGCAACGACACAACGATTTGATGAATGATCGGCGTTCGCTGGTGACGAGAATGAAATATGGAAAGGATATGGTGTTCTGCGTTCGATCAGCATTATCTCTGAGGAGAAAAAGGAAGCACGCACGAGATTCGTCCATGTCGTCGCGCACCGCTCTATGGAGCTAACGAGGTGAGTGCATGCTTGTTCTTGAGAAGTTTTATGTCGTCGTCGAAGATGATCATCCGGGTCGGATTAATGTATGGCAGGCCGAGCACTAGGCCAGCGGTCGAATCTGATGTGTGTATCTGCAGGGAAATGAAGATATCCGTGATGCCTGGGGCCGCCTTGAGGATATGCTGCATGGCTGGGCCGAACCCGCCCTCGAGGCGCAGCATCTTAATGAATCTGCCAAGGTCCGGGTGGCCGCGTAGCGCCGCCTGAAGTGCACGCGCTTGGGCCTTCGAGCGAAGGACGACGACGTGGTATAGGAGCGGCGTCGCGACGCGCAGCCATGCCTTGCAGACAAGAAGGGCAGACGAGCTCGACACGGAAGACGCGAAGGGTGATATCAACGACTCATTTTCGGAGAACATTTCCTCCGACACCTTGAGTGCAGGAGATAGAATCTCGGAGATGATTTCGTCTGGAAGATGTTCGGACATCGCATGAGCGCGATATTTCGAGGTTTGGCCGGGGACGCGCGTGGAGGAAGGAGAGAAAGATTGGAAAAGACGCGTGTAGAGGGTGCCAAACAGTGGGAGTGGGCACCGCCTGTAGTTGTTGTCAACTATTTGCACATGTTACAATAACATGGCCCTCTGCCAAAATCTGATGCGGAAACGCCGGCATGATTTCCGGCGGTCACAGCCGTCGGTCAGTCAAAGTCAAGAGACAAAGTCCTTTATAATTGCATGGAGCATGCTTTGTAGACAGGGATTTTTGAGAAACCAATTTTAAGGCAAGGATCGAGTGCATATTTAAGTCATGTTTCCATATTTTTCTTATCCCTACCTACAAAGCATTGCCCGACATATTTTTTAAAATGTGGCCATGAAGCGGAGTTTTAAAAGTGGCCGTGCCGTCTGGAAAACGCGCCTTGCCGTCGAAAAACCTGTAATAGTTCATGGCTGGCCCCCAGGGGATCAAGCATTTATGTAATAGCTGAAGGCATGCAAAAAAAGCGGGGGAAACTTTTCTATGCACCAGCGGGGAGTCGAACCCCGACTCAATCATTTACTTGTGCCTTAGCAACCACGGTGCTCTTCCTCCCTATACATCTGATCTTCCATTAACGACGAAATAAAACAGTGTTCATGGTGCTCATCATCAATTCAATCTGAAGCTCGTTCCCTTCAGTTCATGTCGGAATGGCAGCCAATAATGCATGGCGGTCCACTCCAATGATTTGGGGATGAAAAAACGATAGCGACGACAACATGCACCGGCGAGGAGTCGAACCCCGGACTCAACGTGTACCGTACACCACCGGTGCTTTTCTTCTCCCAGACAAAAAAATGCATTCATCACACCAAATTCCCAGATCTGGTGTTAAATTCAGTCGGAGGCCAATCTCAAGGTCGTTCCGAGAGTTTATCTTGTGAACAGGCCATCCAACACACACATAATTCGGAGAGGTGACTAAAAAACCACCGGAATGCGAGCATGCACCTGCGGGGAGTCGAACCCCGGATTCAATAATTTATCCTGACATCTCATGCATGTGTTGATTGCGTGTACCGTACACCACCGGTGCTTTTAACGGCTGATTGTACCCTCAATTTATGTTGCAAAAAATGCTCAGAAGGGCATCATCATCCTTCCTATCACTGATGAGGTTTTTATGCTATAACTTATTGGCTCTTGAATCCGCTGACATTCTACTCGAAAACAATTCAACAGATATTCACTCCTGCAAAGGTTGTTGGAAGTCTGGAGCAAATTTGAACTACCAACGGGATAAAGCAAAAGCATCTCAATTCACGAAATGCACCGGCGGGGAGTCGGACCCCGGACCAATCATTGACGCTGAAAAATGGTATCATGGAATGATTGTGTGTTCTGTACACCACCAGTGCTTTCTACCTCCAATCAAATCCTCTTTTTATGCTGCAAAAACACGGGTGTCCTATATCCTTGATGAGCTCGTCGATACTATAACCTTTCGAATCTGGCCATCTCTCTCTCAAGGTGAATGCATCAGTTCAGCGATGTCACTTCTGTAAAGACTCTTAGAGAAGTCTGGATAAAATTGAATTGCCAACGAACTAAGCAAAAAGTCAAGGAAGCAAACGCACCGGCGGAGAGTCGAACCCCGTCTCAATCACACGAAATTCTTTAACTTGAACACCTGGATTGCGTGTACCGTACACCACCAGTACTTTCCTTCCTTAGTTGAATCCTGCATTTATGCTGCAAAAATACACATGCCCTCTGTATTGTGAATCCCATGATCGACGACTCGGATCTTGCTCATTTTACAAAGAGAATTCAGCAGTTCTCCAACCTCCACTCCTTCATTCTGATCTGTGAGAACGGGGCGATAGCCTGGAACAGAACAGCAGAAAAGAAAGACGTACCCCTCCAAAAAAAAAAAATCAGAAGCTATGGCTAGAATGCATCGGCGGGGAGTTGAACCCTGGACTCAATCCTTCACTGTGACTTGGGGCCTTGGGCGACATATGAATGGATTGTGTGTGCCATACACCACCGGTGCTGTTCTCTCCCCAATTGAAGCCTCAATGTACCACACAAAAGCAGCCTTGACCACGCCAAATTCTCAAGATCTGGTCAGTGGTGCGCATCATGAATTCATGCAGAGGCTAATCTTAAGCTCGTCCCATCCATTTTTTTTTTGTAACAGGCTATCTGCACAGATCATTCGGTGAGACAAAAAGGACGCTGGCACATTAAGTATGCACCAGCCGAGAGTCGAACCCAGGACTCAATCCTCCACAGTATGCAATACTATTCTATTCTGAATGGATTGGGTGTACCACACACCACCGGTTCTCTTTCCACCTATTTTAAACTGCCATCATTCACGGCACACCGAGGTTTGTTCCTGCAGTGACAGTGGTTAATTCCTAACCTGATCTCAAGCTCGCTGCCTATTCTTGTGGGTGATTGAGTGAGATGGATCGGTATTTCGCTGCATTGGATGGATGGGAAATCCCATGAATGCAGGGTAGCTGGGATAAATGTGAATGAGTACTGTATGTAAAGAAAAAAGGAACAAACGACTTTGCTATGCACCGGCGGGGAGTCGAACCCCGGACTCAATCATTTACCCCATTCCATCAATTAATGAAAGATTGGGTGTACCGTACACCACCGGTGCTCTCCCTCCCTACATCTTATCCTCAATTTACTGCACTAAATTCCCAAGATGCTGTTCATCATGCATTCATTCAAAGTCAGTTGCCTACAGTTGATCTTGTGCAACCCTGTAATAGTTTGTGACTGGCCCCCAGGGGATCAAGGATTTGATAGATAACGGAGTACAAAAAGATGAATGGATGCCCACTCTGATATGCACCGACGAGGAGTCGAACCCCGGACTCAATCACACAAAATCATTGAGACCTTAGACATGGATTGTGTGTACCATACACCACCAGTGCTCTCCCTCCTTACATCTCATCCTCAATTTACACCGTAAAAATATGTGTGGTCTTTTTTGAACCCATCAACAATGCACCCGTTACTTATCGAATCCGCCGACATCTCACACGAACATTTTCAGCAGATCCCACCTTCAGAATCTGGCGAATGCTGGAGGAAAAATTAACTGCTAACGAAATAAACAAAAGAATTGATGACTTCGGTAATGCACCAGCGGGGAGTCGAACCCCGGACTCAATCCTCCATGGTTATTCTTGCCATATGAATGGATTGTGTATTCCGTACACCACCGGTGCTTTCTCCCCAATCCAATCCTGCATTCTTACCACACAAAAATGCTTGTCTTCTGGGTGTTCTAAGACCATTGCTGTATGGAAAATGGTAGAGCGAATAGTGGCATGGCTACAAATATCCAAATATACCCCAATTCCACGCATCGCAAAATCCCATGTCTTGAATCTAGATACATGCATAGGTAGCAGGGAAATAGACAACGCACCGCCCAAAATAATAATAATGTGTTTTTAAAAAAAGACGCTTGTTTGACCAAAATGTGCCAGCCGGGGTTCAAACCCGAGACCCAACCCAAAACCTTCAAGATCTGCCTACATGAAGGTTGTGTGTTCCCACTACACCACCGCCGGTGCACATCCTTCATCCCGTACTAATTAGGAATTAGGATAAGAGCCATGTCTGAGAGTGAAGACAACTGCTGATTCAAGTCTCGAGTCCTGCTGGCAAATCGGATAACTGCTAGCAGCCAAGATATCATTTAGCGGTCAGAATTAGACAGCGCCTCCAAGAAATGACAACGGACCGATATTACTAACGCACGAAAAATGGATAAAGCACCCAAGAAAAAATAAATGGAAAATGAATCAATATGCGCCGTCCGGGGCTCGAACCCGGGACCAACCTCATACTGGCGATTTTTAGAGCTCTAAGTTGCAGGTTGTGTGTTACCACTACACCAACGGCACGATGATGTTGCAGCCCCACTTGACTACATAGTCACTTCATTCTCGTTACAGTGCCCAAAAACATACCACTGCGGCTGAAAATAGGCAATGAAATCAGGAATTTGTCGAGGAAAAATACCGAGAAGAAGTGGTTCTAAATCGCAAAGTGAGCCTAACATCGACACGAATCCCTAATGATCTCACAATTGTACCAGATGAGCAAACATGCCGGGTCCTCGGTGCATGGGTCGGAGATGATGTTCCCTACCTTACGCCATGGCCCGAGGTGATTGAAAGGATCTCGAGGGACCTAACCCGATGGAGCGCAAAGAAACCTACTTTGGAAGGGCGCCGGCACATTATCAATATGGTCATTGGCGGGAAAACACAGTACTTGACCCGTGTCCAGGGCATGTCTAAAGAAGTCGAAGAAACCTTGATCAGAATGCGTGACAATTTTCTCTGGGAAGGAAAGAAACCCCGCATAGCTCACGAGACGATGTGCCTTCCTCTTGACCAAGGCGGAAAACAAATCCTTGATATACATTCGAGAAATGAAGCAATCGACCTATGGAACCTTAGAGGATTTGTGCAGATGGGAGATGACCGAGCAAACTGGCCTTTCTTATTAGGGGCTACCCTCACAGTGCTGCAGAAAATCCCACACAATGTCCCCTTACTACTATGTTCTTCATCCGACTTTTTGCTCAAAACACTGATTAAGGAGAGAAAAAAATCTGAAAACGACATGTTAGACCCAAGTTTCCTGCTCTTCAAAGCAGTCTTTGCAGCTCTGAATGAGCGAGTTGCACGGACACAGTTCAAGCAGACAACATTAACTTTCCCTGTCACCGCAGGGATTGATTCATACCCTCCACTTGAGGTTGATACCCAAATTGATTTAATGTTCAGCTGCCCAGGTATTCTAATCTCACAAGGCTCACAGCGAATCTTTACAAAAATCATTAAGGGCAGACGCTCAGAACCGTTCAGGAAGGCAACATTTATCAATTTAGATTGTATCCGGTGCTCTGTGCATGAAGTCTCTGATTACACTCCTACTGACAAAATGATTTGGAAATCTATACGTTCCACAAATCTGAGACGACTGCACCGCGAATTATTCTGGAAGTCAATTCACAACATTTTCAGAGTCGGCGACTTCTGGACACATATTGACAATCTTGATTCCATTGCAGTCTGCCCACCATTGCAGTCTGCCCAACATGTGGTGTCCCTGAGAACCTCGAACACATTGCGCTAGAATGTGATGCTTCAGGGGCAAAATTAATTTGGCGACTGACCGAGGAACTCTGGGCCATGAAATATTCCAACTGGCCCCCCCTCAGCTGGGGACTGTTCTTGGGTTGTAACCTTGTTAAATTTAAATACTCAAACGGAAAAATTATCCCTGCTATGGGTCGATTGTTTGCCATTCTGGTATCCACGGCCTGGCACACAATCTGGAATATCCGGAATGATAAGGTTCTGAAGAACCCACACCATAACATTACAGATGTTGAGATTCACAACAGATGGCTGAAATCTGTGAATTCCGCACTAGGATAAGATCGAATCCTCACCAATAAAATGAAATTTGGTAATCTTGCGCTGAATAAAGATCTTGTCCTAAGAACATGGAGTGGTCTACTAATGAATGAAGATGCTCTGCCGGACGATTGGACTTACACAGTGGGGGTTTTAGTGGGTATACAGCCATTGAGATGGAATGATCCAAGAAATGGGATAGGATAAATTTATTACGGCTGGAGTCCCACACTATGGTACTTGTGCGTAATGACATTTCCTCCCTGGACAACTTCCCCGGCATTAACTAGATTTATCTGGTAGACCCAGTGGATGACTTTTGGAATGCTTCTGCAGACTGAATTTCATTATCCCAAACACTCCAAAAAAAAAAAAAAAAAAAAAAAAAGAGGCTGGAGAAACCATGCGCCGTCCGGGGCTTGAACCCAGGACCCAACCGGATATGTATTCATTGCAGGAGAAATCAAGGTTGTGTGTTACCGCTACACCAACGGCGCGATCGCTTGTCTGATTCCCTTCATCCCTCAGCACGATATCACTCGACAGCTAGAAATGTGAACGTACAAATAAGAAAATAAACACCCTCCCCTCCAAAAAGAGCAATTCCTATGGCAAATGCGCCGTCCGGGGCTCGAACCCGGGACCCAACCTCACTTTCAGTGGACATATAAGTACAGGTTGTGTGTTACCGGTACACCAACGGCACAACGATGTTGCAGCCCCACCTGACCACATACACACTTCACTTCACATCGAGAAAATTCACCACTGAAAATAGACAATAAAATCAGGAATTTCTCGAGGAAAAAGAGGCTGGAGAAACCATGCGCCGTCCGGGGCTCGAACCCGGGACCCAACCAGATATGTATTCATTGCAGGAGAAATCAAGGTTGTGTGTTACTAATGTTGCCGCGACTTGAAAAGTTGAGTCGCGACTTTGAAAGTTGACTTGAACGCGGATTTGACTCGACTCGACTCGACTCGATAGGTCCAAGTCGACTCAAGTTGACTTAAGTCGACTCCAGAGCACATTTTGTACAGCAAGGTATTTTTGGGGTTCTAGCTTCATTTGCAGCGGTTTCGTGAAAAATCACGGAAACGTGACAAATGTCACCCGGGTGTCACGCACTCAGGTCACGGTCCATCAAAATTCAAGAAATTGTTTTTTTTGTGCTGTAAACAACTCAGTGCACCTTTGGGGAATTCGGAGCGTCAAGTCGACTTGAAGTCACTCGAGTCGACTTGGAAGTCAACCCGAGTTGCAGCACCGACTGGGCTCGACTCGACTTAAGTCGGTTGTGACTTCGACTTTGAATGACTTGGAGTCGAAGTCGCGGCAACATTAGTGTTACCACTACACCAACAGCGCGATCACTTGTTTCCCTTCATCCCTCATTATGATATCACTCGACAGCTAGAAATGTGGACGTACAAATAAGAAAATAAACACCCTCCCCTCCAAAACAATATGCAACCCCATATGCGCCATCCGGGGCTCGAACCCGGGACCCAACCAGATAAATTCAAACAATGGACCGATTCACAGGTTGTGTGTTACCGCTACACCAACGGCGCGATCACCTGTCTCTTCCGTTCATCCCTTTTCATCATATCACTCGATGCACTGGAAATGTGGCGGTAAAAATAAGAGAATCGACGCCTCCTCCAAAAAGCTCGTTTCCATTAGCCAATGCGCCGTCCGGGGCTCGAACCCGGGACCCAACGTAAAATCCCTGGATTAACAATAACAATTCACAGGTTGTGTGTTACCGCTACACCAACGGCGCGATCATTGCTTTCCTTCACTTTACACTCTTAACACCCACCTTATCACTATCATTTATCATATCACTCGCCTTGATGCAACATCCTCCCTGCGGCATTTGCGCGGAGACGGACGCGTGGTATAACCCACTGACATCGACACGTAACCCGCCTGCCTGCCTTGCCCCGGAGTGGTGATAAGTTAATCGGGTGCGCTGGCGTTAATCGATAATCGGGTGCGCTGCTGCGCGACGGCGAGCGGGTTACCATTAGCTTATTCATTTATTCACTCGGGACGACATGCGTGCTAAATTAATGGCCACCGCCGCGTTGTAGTGCGCGACGGTGAGCGGGGAGCGTTCGTGGCTTACACGATGAACTCATTGAATTCACTCGGGACGACATGCGCCTGCCCGACACGCTGCTAAATTAATGGCCACCGCCGCTGCGCGACGGGTCGCAGGTCGTATTCCGCTGGCTTATTGATTCGCTCGGGATGGCGTGCGCCGACACGCTGCTAAATTGCGCCGACGGCGACAGCTGCTAAATTAAGCCAACGCGGAGACCGTGCCTAAAGACCGGCGGTGGCGGAACGCGCCAAATGCGACGATGACAAAGCAGCGCGGCAGATCTTACGCGCCAATTTCAAAGCCACGACGCGCCAATGAAGCGGCGTCATCAACCCCGGACGCACCGTCAGGCCACAACGCGATGACACAACGCCGCAACGCGCCAATGAGGTGGCCGCGGCACATCACGCACGGATGCAACGTGAGCGGTTCATCGCGAGGCCCTGACCTCCCTGCTGCTCTCGACCCATCAACTTGCCGTGGAAGTCCTACGCTATGTGGATCATGAACACCAACCGGTGCCTCGGTCAGATAGGCTTTGTAGATTCTGCAAAGAGATGGTAGAAACTCCGGAACATGCGCTACATAATTACCTGCAAGTCATCTGACGCACTGGTTGCACTGCGCTCCACATTCCTGGAAAAATTATTCTCTAACTCGCCAGATCTCCAATGCCGCATGGCAGAACTCTCTAACACAGAGTTCCTTAAAGCCGTGTTATACTCTCGACCCAATATCGCGCTATTGGCTAAGTTTGCTCATGATGTTCTTCAGGTTTTCTACAGCCTCCCTGTGTTTCATTTGCGAAATGTCTGATTGGAGGTCGCTAATTCCCGTGCTAATTTACTTCTCTATATTCCTTTTAGCTCTACCGCGGCGGGTTGAAAGATTGAGATCGTGAGCTCGGCTACGAGGGTGTGGAGGAGTCCAGGGACAATAGTATACAAAGTGCCTGTATACTTCGATATTTCCTGGGCCCCGGCGTTCCTAAGCGGGACCGGCCGTGTAATCCTACCTACCTACCTACGTGAGCCAGGAGAACCGGCGCGGGACGAAAACAACGACGTGATGCTAGTACGATTCATGCCGCACAAATAAAGAAAATTGATTAAACATCCGTTTTTTTTTCAACGTCCACTCCAACGCCCAATATCCCCAAATTACACTCAGTTAACCGCCCTCCCAAACAAACAGACCCCGAAAATGGAATAATAAGTACGTGTTGAACTATGAAAGCACCGAACGCGTTACGCCATAACGTCCCGTACTCCCTAGGTATTGCGATACTCCGGTGGAGCCACCTCCGCCTCCTCGTCGTCACGCGTGCGGCCTTGCAGCCGCGCATTCAACAACATTACCAGCTCCGACGTCGGCAGGTCGACGGACGAGAGGAACGTCCCCCCACCCGCGCTGCTGCCCGCAATCGCCCCGGTTGATGTCGAAATCGTCGTCGTTCCGCGTCCTCTTGTGATATGAGAGCCCGAGCTGGATCTCGAGTGCGCAGAGCCTGAATGTGTATGTGTATGCGTATGCGGCTGTAGCCGGGCCTTCTCCCCAAGTCGACTTGAAGCAGTAGCAGGAGCTGGAGGCGTAACAGGAAAGAACGGTGCGCTGCCGTCCAACTGTGCGGTCGATTGCGCTGTACTGAAGGGATGTATCGTAGACTCCGTGGGCGATGCGGCCAAAGCGACGCGGCCCCGGCGCCTCATCATAAACCAGCAAAACACCGCGATGGCGACGAACGCCACCCCGCCAACCACGCCCCCCGCAACGGCGGCCGCGCTCTTGTGCGCTTTCCCCTCTTGCCCATTCGAATTGGGTGTCGTCGGAGATGCGGTCGCAGCTGGGCTCCCAGACGCCGACGTGGATGTAGTAGAGTTGTCACCGGCGGGCAGCAGGGTCGCGGCGAGCAGCACGCTGAGCGCGCCGGTCTGGTTCGCCTGTGAGAATGCCGTGCTGGGCGGGCCCGTCCACTGTCCGCCGTAGATATTTGTCCCGTCCGACGTGGCAAAATCCGTGATCGCGTTGAACTAGAAATCAACGTAGAATTTGGTGAGCAGTGGATGATGATGTTGGCTACAATGCGGCAAGACAGCGCACCTGAACCCCAAGATAATCCTGCACGTACGCGCGCACTTCAGGCGAGGTGGCGTTGCGCCGGTACGCAGACGCGAGCGCGCGGACTGATCGAGTCCCCGGTTTTGTCGACTGCGAAATACCGCCGCGATGAGCATCAATAATTCAAAGCATAGGAATTACTAACGTCCACCAGATATCCCCTCGTACGTCTGCCACACAAGATTCCCCAGTACCTCCGTAATCAAATCGTCCAACCTACCCTCGCCGTCAGCCAATTTCTACTTCTATTAAAGTGGAATTGGAAGTGGACTCACAAAGCCTGCGTCGACACGTTCCGCGTGAGCGAGACCAGCGTCGCCAGCCCCTCCACGAACAAGCCCGAGTTGAACGAATTGGTGGTCGCGTCAAGCGTCGCACAAGAGTCGTTCTGCTGCGCGGACATTGTCTGCTGGACGAGGTTGTTGTTATTGTTGTAGAGGTGGGCACGGATGAAGTCCGTAGACTCGAGGGCGGCGGTGAGGTATATGGGATTGGAATTGGAGGTGACTTCTGCTAGCAGCGCGGATAACCTAGGATAAAAAGTTGGACGATAGTTGTTACATGGAACTTGATCAGAATGAACGTACACCAGAAAATATCTGAGCGCCGCATTTCAGTAATCTGAACCTAGCGAAAAGTCGATGAAGCACGGAACGCACCCGGTAGACATCGCCGCTATACTAGGATCCGTCGGCGTTGTCGTCTGCATCCATATCCATACATCAGCACCCTCCAAGCCTCACACGTCAGAACACTTGCCCAAAACGTCCCGCCCGCCATCGTCGCTGTCGAAAGTTCCAAGATCAGGTCGACCAACACAAGGGAGAATTTTAAAAGGGCGCACTTCCTCCGCAGATACCTTCCACCGGCACGCCCTTCGTAGGGAGGTCTCCCGCCGCCTGGGATATGGTGTACGATCGCCCAAAGGACCACGACTGGTTGGCGTATTGGAGAAAGACTGGATCTTGTCTTGGTAGGCGGTGTATGCTCGGACTGCGGCGTATCCATAAGTTCTAGATAAATAAATGCGTTCAGCGAAGCATATATGCGGAAAAGGAAACGACGTGCAGGCCGTAATTCAGCTATTGAATTTATGTGCGGCGGCATCAGCGAAGGACGGTGTTATCGTTGCGGGGATCACTAACACTGTGGTGGGTTCACCTCAGTCCCAAATAACTAACCCGCAGGACACAAAGGAAGACTTACTAAGTATCAGAAAAATTCGCCCGCGCCTGCTCGGTGAGCGCAAAATACCGCTGCAGCGAATCGTGGTATATCCGTTGGTTGTTGACGATGTCAAACTCCGCCATCTGGGAGTACACCTTGCCGACGACCTCGTAGGTCTGACCTGTATATTATAATTTATTCAAATAACAGGCGAGAGGCGATTTTCATCGTTGCTGCCCACCGTCGAATTGGTTGGTGACGTTCAGCATGTCGATGGCCTTCTCCAGCGCGGCCGCGGCGGTGCTAATCCGCGCAGCGGGCGATACCGTCACATTCGGTTTCTGTGAGCACATGAATAAGCTATTAATGCAGAGGCGAGGAATTTACGCACGCGCCAAGACGAGGTGACGACTCCTGCCTGTGCTGACGCAACCGAAATGGAAATGGAAATAAGAAGTAGGCAGCCGAAGGAACGTAGAAGAATGGATGGGAGCATGCGAGACAGAAAGTTCAATCGAGCGCAGTTAAAGACCCTTAAGAGCTGTATCCGAAACAACAATCAGTTAGGGGATTGTAGGATGCGCAGTGGGTGTGGGGATCGTGCCCTAGTAACAGGGACGGGAGAAGGGACTGGATGTGAGTGGATACGGGACCCAACGAACATCTTGGAAGTATCAAAGTCACACAGAGAGACACGGAAATCACGGCGAGAGCCTTCGTGATTTCTGTGGTAGCAAGGATTAGGATAAATGCATAGATTACAACCTAATATACGCGATACTTGGATGATCGGGAAGCCCGCCAAGAAATTCGTTGCAAGTCTGCGCCTCAGAAGTACAGAGAATTGACCCAGGAGTCAGGACCCAGAATAGCGAATGTTGTTGTCCCGATCTCGTCGCCACGGTATTGTTGCAATTCTGTAACGGACAGGGTAGCGCACCCAGAATACCCGTATTCTATTGAGCGGAGTCGATAGGCCCCTTTTCCGGCGCAAGACAAAAATATCGAGGCGACTCGGGCTGACGACTCCCGGGGAAGTAACAGATACATCACGGGGCGGGGCTGCGGGAATATATGGGGAAGCTCGCACTGATGCGGAAGCTGTCGCTCTGATGGCGAGCCGCAGCAGGACCCCGTACACCGCTGCGGAGAAGCGCACTGTGAGCGCTGATGCGAAATAAGAAGACGTCGTCGTATCAGCCGGTGCCCGAGGTTATGGCGGCTATCAGGAGAGCGGGGCGGACGTCGCGTCTAGAAACCATCGATACACACAACTAGTGGTTGGCGCCGCCTCAGAAAGGCATACAGTAAGTAATGTGCGCTCGCGGAATTAGCTGATTAGGATGGATGGGCCTCCGCGACACCGAGTGGCGAGCAGCGCCGGGCAA